CTGCTGCCAAGTCAATCAGTACTTGTACTGATCGCTTGCTCCATTTTGATCGCGGTTCCCGAAGAGAACTCTATCGGCAATCTATGGCTCATCCTGCTAGTCCCCGATGTAGAGGCTTGAATTTTGGATCGTATTTTAAACCACTGAAGTTGTGGCAGCGTATTTGAAACAGCGAAAATAACGGGACTGAATATTGTAAAGCAGAAATAAGAGGACTGAATGTTACTGCTTGAATAATAAAGATGCGAATAAAACATTATTTTCAACTTAATTTGTGCAATGCGTTTTTATTCGATAAGTGTAATTCAACGTGTGTTTTTTTTCATCAACGACTTTTGTCATTAATTTACTTCCATAGAAAATTGCCATGGGTGAAATGTCCCTGATGGTAATTGACTGGTGCATTCTTACAATATAATATCTTATGCTACAATATAATATGTATCCAGGTTATTATCACGCTAATTAGCATTTAATTTTTCCCAATCATAGTGCAATTGTTGACTCACCCACAGCCTTGTTGAATAGTTAATTCAGAACATTCAGCCTGGTTGGCCGGGTTGGTGTTGCCCTCTGTATCCCCAGTCAATTTTTGCTTTTTGCAGAGGAAGTAATGAAAGTGGGCGTTAAATATTTGCTGTATGTTTCTTGCAGTGCAAACATAAGTGCATCTTTGCACATGTACACATTGCCAGACTTCCAGAACGTAACCCTGCACAAAGTAAAACAGAACAGATCTCTGTGTATGAGTTACATTGCATTGCAGGATAGTGAGAGATGAGTAGCGGAGCCTCTAGGAGCATTTGTGTTTTTTTGTGGTTTCTGTAACACACACGCAGTTTAAAACATGAATGTCTGCATCGCACTACTGTCATTGTGAAGTTGTCCAATAATGACAATTTTGTTTGACATTTCATACACCGATAATTAAGTGGTAATGATAACTGCCGGGCTTCTGAACTTCTGGAATCTGTAGTGAACCTGATGTCAGTCACGTTACTTCTTAAGATCCCGTGATTGTATGTAGCAGCCACATCATATAACGAGGATAGTGAGACATCAGCGAAGGAGGTAGCACTTGGGAGATTTTAGCAAGGTTCTAAATGATGTATGAGCTGATGAAATTGTTTGTCCTGCCATATGGAAAATGGCTGTTCATCCAATGCAACCGTTTCCATTATTTTAGCAGTTATGTCTTTTGCAGACTGTTGCTGCTAACTTTGAATATTGATTAAATTCTAAACATGGCAATATCAGCCAATATTGACACATCGGACAGATGGAGGTACCTTGATTTTTAACAAACACCAGCTGATACTGATATGTAACTGATGTGCATTTCTAGCATCTAGCAAATGCTGGTCTTTTCAGAGGATATCCTGTAACAGGCAGATGGTACCTAAGCATTTAAGAATGACCTTCTGGACCTTTCTTGAGCGTTTCTGGGCTCAGTCACATGGCCAAAAAATTCACTCTTCTGCGGTTCGGTTCAAAGGCCATTAAAGTGACCTAAAGTGATCTTCAATCCCATCCAAATCAGAAAGTTTTATTAGGGACGTCTTCAATGACAGATCTGCATGTTTTGGGTGAAACACTGAAACAGAAGCAAAAAAAAAAAACGGATCTGACGAAATGTCTCAACGCAAGTTTGTACAGCTGAAAAAGTCCTGTATTTTAACACTGAATGTTAAAAGGAAATCTCGCCCTGGCACGTCACAGATATCCTACGCAACAAGGCAATTGAACAGTAAATCAGATTGTAACACTCTTCATCCATATGGGGGAGACTGGTCATTTGAGCATCGTCAGCAGAACTTTCAGATGTATGGAGGGGTAAATAGTTTGTTTTGTTTGGAACTAACCTCCCCAGGAATAGGGTCCCTCCCTTAAAACTACTGACCGACAGCATGGATGCTGTGTCTGTTTAACAAGGCTGATTGTGTGTGAGGGTGTGATGTCCTGTTGCACCCAACGAAGGGTGCTGTATTCATAGAGCCAATGAGTTGTTGATTGCTATTCTTGCAGTGCTGACACTCAAAAGATCCAGTTGTGGTGCAGCTTGAGAGTTTATCTTTTTGATGTCCTCTGAATGTTCCTGCACCCGTGGCTCAGGTTAAGGAACAGCGGCATGTTTATTAGAGTAAGCGCTGACTGTCAGACTTGATGAGAATCACGCCCTGCTCTGCTAATGCCTTGGGCTGCCAACATTTCTGGCCTTTGAAGTTCAGTTCTTCCTTGTGATTTCTCTGTCATGGCACTCCCCCCCAATACCCTGTGGGACACAGCTGTTTCCTGGTCTGTGCTGGGGATGGGGTCGCCATCCCCTAACCCCGTTTCTGCTCATCCAGCTGAATACCAGCTCAGTCCTCTTATTTAAGAATGGCAGCCCTTTCCATTTACTAAAAGAGTAATTGTGTTATGCTCTGTACTTTTCTCTGGCACCTTTCAGCAGATTTACACCACCGTCACTATACAACTGAACGTCCAACCCTGTGCTTCCTGCAAAATGCCCCGCCCACCTGTCCCCAAAGCCTCCTATCTCCAGCCTAAATGGATCCCACAGAGAACCAGAACCTGTAAAACCTCGTTATCATGACTGTGACAGTCATATATGACTGTAATAGTACAGATATTTGTTGTGTACTGTTTGGTACATCATTTTTGGTTCAGTACCCACAATGAAATGAATGGATACATTTATTGACATGGGTGGAACCTAAATTCACAAATAGATGTTCAATGCGGAAAACATCATGCTAATTGTGGCCGTGAGTTGGTTACAGCTAATGCTGGTTACAGTCAATCAAAATTGGCGGTTTGGGAACATTTTGTTTTCCCAAATAACTCCCTCTCAAGGGCTGGTGTAGTTGATAAGACCAAGAATGCTTCTCCTCCCGGATATGTTGCTGGAAACAGATGCAACGTGCTGTGTCATTTGAGACATGATCCGAGTGTGTGTACGGCTGGAACAAAGCAGAAACAGCCTTGGAACGTGAGTCTCCCTGTGGCTTTTAGGGTGCTTTTGCCAGGAAATTCAGACTGGGGTAAAACAAAAATAACTGTGGATTATACAGATACATGGCCAAAGTGGGATTTAGAAGGGATGTAGTTCATTATGATTATGGTGTTATATTTTTGATTTTTAAAAATTAATTTTGCATATTTTTGCAATGTTCAAATAGGTGTGTTGTTTTCTAATTCAGACACATTGCCTTTGGTTTGTGTTTGTCTTTATACACTGCTCAAAAAAATTAAAGGAACACTTTGAAAACACATCAGATCTCAATGGGAAAAAAATCATGCTGGATATCTATACTGATATGGACTGGGCAATGTGTTAGGAATGAAAGGATGCCACATTGTTTGATGGAAATGAAAATGATCAACCTACAAAGGGCTGAATTCAAAAACACCCCGAAAATCAAAGTGAAAATGATGATGTGGCAGGCTAGTCCATTTTGCCGAAATTTCATTGCAGCAACTCAAAATCGTACTCAGTAGTTTGTATGGCCCCCACGTGCTTGTATGCATGCCTGATAATGTCGGGGCATCCTCCTAATGAGACGCCGGATGGTGTCCTGGGGGATCCCCTCCCAGTTCTGGACCAGGGCATCACTGAGCTCCTGGACAGCCTGAGGTGCAACCTGGCGCTGTCAGATGGACTGAAACATACTGTAATGTCCCAGAGGTGTTCTATTGGATTTAGGTCAGGCGAGCATGGGGGCCAGTCAATGGTATCCATTCCTTCATCCTCCAGGAACTGCCTGCATACTCTCGCCACATGAGGCTGGGCATTGTCATGCACCAGGAGGAACCCAGGACTCACTGCACCAGCGTAGGGTCTGACAATGGGTCCATGGATTTCATCCTGATTCCCAGTGGCAGTCAAGGTGTCGTTGTCTAGCCTGTAGAGGTCTGTGTGTCCCTCCATGGATATGCCTCCCCAGACCATCACTGACCCACCACCAAACCGGTCATTCTGAACAATGTTACATGCAGCATAACGTTCTCCACGACTTTTCAGACCCTTTCACATCTGTCACATGTTCTCAGTGTGAACCTGCTCTCATGTGTGAAAAGCACAGGGTGCCAGTGGCGAATCTGCCAATTCTGGTATTCTATGGCAAATGCCTATCGAGGTCCACAGTGCCGGGCAGTGAGCACAGGGTTCACTAGAGGACGTCGGGCCCTCAAGCCACCTTCATGAAGTCTGTTTCTGATTGTTTGGTAAGAGACATTCGCCCCAGTGGCCTGCTGGAGGTCATTTTGTAGGGCTCTGGCAGTGCTCCTCCTGTTCCTCCTTGCACAAAGGAGCAGATACTGGTCCTGCTGATGGGTTAAGGACCTTCTATGGCCTTGAGACTGTTCTGGGAGACACAGCAAACCTTCTGGCAATTGGTATGTATTGATGCACCATCCTGGAGGAGTTGGACTGTGCTGTGCAACCTCTGTAGGGTGCAGGTATCGCCTCATGCTACCAGTAGTGACACTGACTGTAGCCAAATGCAAAACTAGTGAAAAAACAGTCAGAAAAGATGAGGAGGGGAAAATGTCAGTGGCCTCCCCCTGTTAAACCACTCCTGTTTTGGGGGTCGTCTCATTGTTGCCCCTCTAGTGCACCTGTTGTTAATTTCATTAACACCAAAGCAGCTGAAACCGATTAACAACCCCCTCTGCTACTTAACTGGCCACATCAATATCCCAGAAGTTTAACTGACTTGATGCTATACTCTGATTAAAGTGTTCCTTTATTTTTTTTGAGCAGTGTAGTTTGAATAGTTTTCCCTGCAATACTGAAATTGCGAATTTACACCGAAAGGTTTGTACCTTGAATTTTGTACCATTACACTTAGTCCTACTTGATTCGCCAACTGGCCCACAGTGCCGATCCTTCCTGTGTAATTGCTGTGTACCAGGGGGCTGTCCTCTCACCGCCGCAGCTATAAACTACCATTGAAGGCGTTTCTAGAACATTCATGGACAAAGACAAAGTAAGCTGCTGCATCATCTTAGCCAATATATGGTGATATACGGTCAGGGATGTGGTTTTATTGAGGGTCTTAATGCCCCTTGAGCCAGCTGGCTGAGTTATGTTTGCCTTGTCTTCCGTGGTGATAAATCTGACATTTGTAGGTCTGACTGGGTGAGATTACACACCGCAGGAATTAGGTTCTGTAAATGATGCTCTGTGTCCTGCCTGAAGACTTTTACTCATAATGACTAATTGAGTCTGTCCCTTCAGCTCTGGGCTAACCAGAGATATTTGTGTGAGAGAAAGTTTTAAACACTGCCAGAAACTATGGGAAGGGTGTTCAAGGGAAACACAAGTTATAAAATATCTTACTCCTAATAACAGTCTTATCAAATCATCTTACTGGTAATAATTCATAGCTTGTCAATGATGTGTAATTGTCATGCTTGATGCCGGTTGCTCTACTTTTCCTTGTTGATTTTCTGTTATGACTGATTTCGCAAAGAGCGTTATTGGATTGTTTTCTTTTTAAGTTTATCAAGATTTGTTTCTCCCTGTGACCCTGACCAGCTCATGGATAGATGGATGGATGGATCTGTTTCTGTGCCCTTCTGACCCATCCTTCATTAGCAGGAGAGGTCAGTCTAAACAAGAAATCAAAGTGAGTTACATATTGTGATGGCACAATGCAGTTTGCGTGCCACCCGCACCCCTGACTGTTCATACTTCCAGCGCCAATGCGCTAGGCAGCCGTGTACTTTGAAACCAGACCTTGGTAGTTCTGTACAGCAAAGATGCAGTGTGTCATGGATAAGAATAAATAAGAATTTTACTAAAACTAACTTGCAGTATGTAAGTCAAGGTTATTGTTTAAAACAATTCCATGTACTTTAGTTATTTTATTTTTGTATCTTTACTTAAATATAAGTACTGCCTCTGACAAACTAAAATAAAACACACAAATATAAAATAAAAACAAACGTCAAATACTGAACATAACAATTTTTAAAATAGAATTTAACGAAAGTAAGTATTTGTTTGGACCTCTCGTGCAATGCATTGAACCATAGAAATGACAAATGCCACTAGATCGTGACATTTTAAGTCCTACAACTTTCCATCTATCCCTAGAAATAAAATTACTGAAATTTAAACTAAAATACATAAAAGCTAATTACATTATATGGACAAAAGTATTGGGACACCTGGCCATTACACCTACGGGAACTTTTATTACACCCTGTTCTAAATCCATATATAATCCACATCTGCTGTCCAAGGCCGGCCCCTATGACGAATATTATGTCACCATCACTCCGGAAGCCTTTCACTTGAAGCATGAACCAGCGTTTAAGCCCCACGCTAAACCTAATGCTAAAACTAGCCTATCTGCCTCTCTTTGACATGTAGGTGTCCTTACGTCTGTGGAGGCCACATACAGGAAGGCACCGGTGCTGCAGCCTTTGGCTTCTTAGTCTGTATGAAGTTATGTTCTTGGTTTCATGTGTGTGGGGAGGTATGTACTCCCCTGGGGGCTTTTTCCATAAAACATGGAATGCAATGTACATTCTTGGCTGTTGGGGGTGGACGTTTGCCAGGTAGCAAACAGTTTAAACATAATAAAACTCAGGTCTGAGGAAATGGAGAGGGGTCAATGTAGACTTGGGAGAACAGACAGGTACGGAGCTTAGTCTGTGATGGCTGGGTCTCAGGCTGGTAGGGTGGTGTATAAGGTGTGGTGTAAACAAGGCAGCTGGTTCTGTGTGAGCAGACATGTTTGTGCAAGACACCAGCTGGGGTTTGGTGGTTATAGCGGTAGCAGTCATGTAGCCTCAAAGTTCAGTTTTGAGGCCCTGCAGTGACAGCTAACAGACAGGAGAGCGCAGCCTGGAGGTGGTTTCAGGGAATGGCGGGGCGGGGGTTATGAGTTTGGCATTTCTGAGTGCTGAGGGAATGTGGTTGTGTGTTATTTTTAAAATGTTATCAGTGTAGTTATGCTGGCCTTCTACTGCAATGGTGTCTCTCAGGAACTGAAGATGATCAAGGGGAGAAAGAGCCTTCAGACAGCATGGGGGTAGGTATGAGATTTGGGTTTGTGCTTAAAGAAGCGCAATGTTGGCATTTCGTAGAGGCGCCTGGAAGGGAGATGCAGTGCAGAGTCTTTGGTGGAAGTTTGGGGGGGGGTGGTGATGTGGAAGGTGGGGAAAAGTTTGGAGTGGTATTCGAAAACAAAAGAGCTTGTTCGTAATATGTTACGGCATAAATCGATGGTCGTAGCCAGGGTGGGGGGTGGTATATCGAATCAGGTCTCGAAATGAAATCATGAGGTCAAAGGCCATTGTGCATCGTGCTGTTTGCAGCTCTTACTGCGACTGAGGGGAGGGGGCTCTGTTGGAGATTCCCAGAAGGGAGGAGCACTAATAATAGAGGAGTGCTGATTTTTATATAGGGGCTTTGCCGTACAAACAATGACATGTTTTTTTGTTTGCTTTTTTTTTTTTATTTTGCCAGTGGGAATCAAGCAGTTGTTTAAAGCTGACTCTCCAGCTAGGATGTTGAACGTCTCTGGGTCCACGGTTCTCGAAACTGATCCTCCTATCAGCTGTGAACCACCCAGTCTCACTGAGATTGCACTGGTGGTGTATCAGCTGGGGGCAGGGAAGGCCGCAGGGATCTGTGGTATCCGGGGTAAACTTCTCCAGGCTGGTGGTAAGGCTGTCCTCTTGGTATTGCAGGCAATCTTTGCTTCCATTTTGCAGTCAGGCATCATCCAAACTGACAGATAAATGGGACTTGTGGTCCCTGTCTGGAAAGGGAAGGGTGATCGCCTGGATTGTGGCAACTACAGGGGGATAACACTGCTTTCATTGCTGGGTAAGGTCCTTACTAGGGTCATCCTTACCAGGATCCATGATCACTTGCTTGCCTGTCAGTGACCGGAGCAGTCTGGCTTTATGCTTAAGAAGTCTACCATCGACCGTATCCTTGCACTGAGGGTTCTCATTGAGCGCAAGCACGAATATCGGCAGAGGTTCTTGCAGCTTTTGTCAATTTTCGTAAAGCATTCGACTCAGATGATTGATTTGCCCTGTGGGATATCCTGAGACTTTGCGGGATCCTCCCGAAGTTGCTGGACATCATGGCCGACCTGTACACTGGTACTGTGAGTGCTGTGCAGAGTGGAGGGAGAACCTCCGCGTTCTTCCCAGTTGATTCTGGGGTTCTCCAGGAGTGTGTTCTTGCTCCCACTCTGTTCAATGCTTATATGGACTGGGTGTTGGGCAGGGTCATGGGGTCCAGCAGCTGTGGGGCATCTGTTGGTGAAGAAAGATTTACTGATCTTTACATTGCCAACGATGCTGTGATCTTAGCAGAGTCAATGGAGGCTCTGATTGGGGCTTTCGAGAGACTGAGCGAAGATTCTGAGTGTCTGGGATTGCGGGTGTCCTGGATAAAGACCAAGATCCAGGCATTTAATGAGGACTTAGGCACAGCCATCAGTAGTGTCTGTCTGTGGGGAGAATGTTGACCTAGTCGAGAGATTTACTTACCTCAGCAGCGACATTCATGTTTCTGGTGACTCTACCTATGATGTCAGCAGATGTATTGGAAGAGCATAGGGGGTCATGAGGTCGCCGGAAAGGGGTGTGTGGCGTTCCCAATATCTTTGCAAGAGGACGAAGGTCCAAGTCTTTAGAGTCCTGGTGCTCCCTGTCTTGCTGTATGGCTGTGAGACCTGGACGCTATCCAGTGACCTAAGACAAAGACTGGACTCTCGGTACTGTGTCTCTTTGGAGAATCCTTGGGTACCTCTGGTTTGACTTTGTGTCGAATAAGCGGTTGCTAGAGGAGTCCCGAATGAGGCACATTATCTGCATTGTCGGGGAGCGTCAGTTACTGCACTATGGCCATGTGGCACGTTTCCCTGCCGGTGATCCGGCTCGCAGGATCCTCACTGCTGAGGACTCAGGTGGATGAACCAGGCCAAGGGGACGGCCACGTAACACGTGGCTGCGGCAGATGTATGGCCATTTCCAGAGGGTGGGAATGGACCGTATATCTGCCTGGGGGATTGCCGGTCGGGATCCCGAAGAGTTTCGCTGTGATGCGCTGCATCAGCACATGCTCCCCAACCTGACCTGAGTGGGAATCTGTTTTGTTTGATGGACAGATCATTCACACTAATCTTCAGATTGGCCTGATGCATGTTGATGGGGGGCATGACAAGCCTTACGGTTTCATTCTGTGCCACAGGTGCTTGGGGGCTCTGGGAAACTGTACAGCTGCCTTGCTTCATGCCACTACTGCCCTTGTCCGGCATTCGCCTTCTCTGTGCTGCGGAAGAACAACAGCTTGCTGGTAAATGGTCCCCGGCACTGTGTGCGTGTGTGTGTGTGCGCGTGGGGCAGGGGGTATTTCCCCAACCTCCGTGATGCAGCGAGTCTGACTGATGCTGACCCAGCATAGCATAGCATAGCATAGCACAGCACAGCACAGGTCATTTCACATCAGATGGTCTCCAGGGGCGGCACAATACCCTAAAAATAACGAGACTTCTGAGAAACTGCAACCATCTGGTTCTATGAGAAAGGGAAAATAAAGGTTTATTTATTTATATATATATATATATAAAAAATTTGCACAGGGGGTAGCTTCGTGCAACAGCCAGTAGCAGACCATGTGATGCAAAAACCACATTTTCACAGCACCTAGCATGTAGCACGTGCTTTCAGAGTTCACACCCTGACCCCAGGTACGCCCTACATGATGTTTCTCTGAACACCGTCCTTATTTGTACGTTTGTCTCTCTTTGATCTGAAAACTGAGCTGGATGGAGCATAGGGGTGAGGTTAGCATTAACTTGTGTGTTCTGCTTCTATTTCCCCTCTCTCTGTCTCTCTCTCTGTCTCTCTCTCTTTCTTTGCTGTCTGCCACCTCTGCTCTGAATCACCTCACTGGGACCTGAGACAGTCTCTTTCCCCGCCTCTCTCTCACAGTGTAAACACATCTTGGCAGTGCACCTCTGCCAGGCCATGGGTCTGACCCAGCAGGAGTCCGTGTCTGACCGGCAGATGTCCGACGTTCTCTCTGGGCTGGGAAACGGAACATAGCCTCTGCAGGCTCGGTGGCATTTGGTTGACTGGTTGGTTCAGCCTTTCATATCTAATTATTTTTATGCAGGTTGGTTCAGGAAGCCTTATTTAGTGGATGTCCGGACATGCAGCTATGTTAGATTCAAGTACTTGGTCCAGCCGAATGGATCTCACATCCTCCCCACTGCCCTGACCCTCTCTGCAAGTAGCTTATTTTAAGTAGGCTTAATTGTGTCCAGAGATAAATGGTGTGTCCTGGGATCTACTTACAATAAACATACTGGTTTTGCTGGTACTTTACGTTAGCCATATTTATTCTACAGATGTTATCTCACTCTGTCTTTATTGAGGAGTGGTTTGTTATCCTTAAACACCCATCATCTTGTCTGTGAAGCTGTGAACTTTGATCCGTAAAAGAACCGGTTTGTTCTAAAAATCATTCCTCTGGGAATAAGGTATAAATGTTTATTTTCAAATTAAATGAATCAGATGATTGTCCTTCTGCTGGCCATTGCAGAGCCTGAGAGCCGCTTCCAGAGATGGCTATAAAGTGAAGCAGTGCAGGAAGTGACTGCAGCCAACCCGACACACACGCCCTCAACCACGTGACGGTGCCTTCGCTGGAGGTTACAGCTTTATTTCCCTGATGTTAATCGCTCACACCTACAGCAGTGTCTGAGTCTGGGGAAAACGGTTGCAAGCACTTCCTGAAATACAGACACACTTTACTTTGATAAGGTTATTTAAGTGCTTTCCTTCTGATCAAATACTGAACACCTTTTAAAGAAATGTTACTTTTATTAAAAAAAAAAAAAAAAAAAAAATCAGTTCTTACAGATTTTTTTTTGAATGAGCAGTCATTATGTACAGTTGCAGTAAGTTTGTACTGGTCATGTAATTTACCTAGCACAGCCCTAAGTAAAGGAAACCTGCCATCAGATGACAGATGTTAACTTATGTTAGAGAGAGAGATTTTATAGGTTATGACCCTGCAAGTTGGTGGAGTTAAGCTTGTTCTTTAGTTAGAGAAACCAGGGTTTTCCTGATCCTGTCACTGCTCCCTTTTAGCCCTTAAAGTCCTCAGTTTCAGGTATGCTTTCCTTTCAAAACAGCCTATTTGTGATTTTGACTTTGAAATATTAACTCCTAGGATATATTTAAAAAGTAGTGTGAGAGGAAGACCATGCAATGATATACAGTGGTACCTCGGTTCTCGAACTCACTAGAACTTGAATTTCTTGAAAGTCGAACAAACCCGTTTGACCTAGAACTCGATCAGAATATGAGAAGTCGAACCGTGAACACTGA